AAGAAGTTTCTGTCTGTGATTTCCAAGACTTGCTTTCCATCCGATCATCCTTTAACCTAGGTCACCAATGGATTTTGTTCACATGGCCATGTGGAAGTACAATCACAAAGCGTTGCTTCTCAACAGGAATTGAGAGGCTGTTAGGACATGACATGGGTGCAAATTCAGAGGGAGTCGTCGTTAGGGAAAGGTGGACCTGGATGAAAAACTCTCTCAAGAGCATTCTAAGACCTCAAGGAACTTTCCAGATCCAATATGTAATCTGTTTGATGAGTGGAATTCCCCCTGCAACCAAGGAAAACAATACTACGAGTGAAGAATAGTATGTATGCCTTAGCAATTCCCCCAAAGGATGTAATTTGGGCGCTCAGTGTTGACTGTGAAGTTGGGAATGTTTTCAGTAGCTTCCCTTGATGAAGCCGATTCAGTTGTCTGAACAACCTTCTAAAGCAGGTACTGGAATGACTTCAGTTTTAGTTTAGGAAATGAAATACAGACTGGTTGAATAACTTGACAAAAATCAGACACCCAGGTGAGTGGCAGAGCCATAATCTGCACCCAGGCAATCTGCATCCTGACTTTGAGCCACCACCTTCCACAATTCTCTATGACTAATGAAGTCTCGCCACACAGTTCTGTATAACCGAGCACCTTAACTGAGCCTCACCAAACACCACCAGAACTCGATGGAGATCCTAGATTCTATTTTTCTTCCCATACATACAAAAATCCATGTATGTCCTTACAAACCTGTAAGCCCCAGCCAACACACGCTCAGTTATGGCATGGGATAGATCAGTCTTCTTCCTTCTGGGCTCCATCTCGGCACTCTTGAGAGCCTGCTGGGAAGATGAAAGGGAGAGTCAGAAGGACCGGACTGGAGTGGAATTCTGCAGTTCTCACCATAGGCCTTCCAGGTATGAAAACAACACAGCTATTCACAGACGCCCTTGGGAACAACCAGGGCCCGTCTCACAACCACCCCACACACTCCCAACAGCCTCATCTTTCACTGAGCCCCTCCCTGAGCAAAGCATCTCAGCAGAAGACATACATCTTCAGTTCTAGGTGCGTCTCCCTAACCTTCTGTTTAGGAAGACTCTGGGGTGGAGTGTTTGCATTATTCCTCTGAATCCTAAGAACAGGAAATAGAAGAAGAAAGCAAGGTATCTAAAGAATGCTCGTTTATTTAAGTTGGCTTAATTATGGCCATTAAACTTAATTGTCATAATTGTTGCTTCACTGTCATAACTGTTGTTCCCGTTGTCCTCACAGGGATCACCAAAGGGATTGTGAGCTTTGTGTAGCTGTTTACACACTTTCTGCCAGCTCCTTAGGGATTGCATAGTTTGCTGGGGATCCTGCCCTGTCTCCCACGCCTCGAGGGTGGGGCAATCCGAAGTATCCTTGTCAGCCTGTGAGGGCTCAAGGAAGTCAACCCTACAACGTGGTAAAGCTTGTCAGTGCTTAGGTGTTCTCTGGAAACTTTCCTATTGCAACTATAAGTAGCTAATGTCATTGGAGACCATGTGTCAGATGCCTCACCCAGAGTCTTTGATTTGATCTCAGGAGCTCTCAGCATGGGAATGAGCACGCTTTTGTAGGTGAGGAGAAAAAAAGACCTGGTGAACTAAGGGAGTGGGATCACAGTTAGGAAGTGGCAACGTGGTGATCTACTTCAAACCTGGAGTGTCCTGTCCATTTACCATACCGGTTAAGGGCCTAGGCTTCCAGTCTTTGGTTTGAAGTCTAAGAGGCAGGAGGGAAAACAGCCCATACAAAAAAATATTTGTATGACACGATAATAAGAATGCACATAAACTTTAAAAATGCAGCTGATGTTTCCAGTGAGTCAGACTAATTTCGATTAATGGGTCCTTTTGGCACTTGGCAGGTTTCCATGGAAAGTTTGAAGGATATCTGGAATCGCAGCACTTTGATATCCCTTCACTTGCACTTGGTAGGTTAGGTCCGCGTGGCTGAGATGAGTGGTCTCCTCTGTCCGGGCTCATTTATTGCTTACTGAGCTTGCTGTAGCTCATGCTTACCATCCCTGTCTCCTGCCCATTCTCACACAGTTTTTACTTCTTGGGTTTTGAAGCTGTTATTGGGAGAGACATCTCTCAATAGTCCCCATTTCCTTTATTCTTCTTAATAGTTAATGATAACTAAATTAAACACTTAACGAAATCCGAATAATGTGGGTTTTTTTTCTTTTCTAAGAGAGATAGATTCATTTTCAATAGAAAAGATTTGAATAAATGTATTTTAGGGCTGGTGTGGAAGTTTGATGATTGAGGAAACTGGGATGCTTCTATTTCTTTCTCTTCAGCATACTGACAATATGGATTCCACCCACAATATTATCTCACAATACAGGATGGCTTTGGGGTTTCTGGATACTGCATGCAGTTTCCAAGTAGGATGTAGCAGAAAAGAGTAGATTTGCAAAAAAAAAAAAAAAGAAAAAGTGCACACCAGTTGTCCGGTTGAGGAACTCTCCTGAAATTCCTCTGTGACTACTAAGGTATTCAGCACCTCATTCCCAGAAATTTTCTTGGCAAGCTAATCCAAGACTCGACCTTTGCTCCTCGCTTCTTTCTCTTTACAATGAGGCGACCACACACATTCTAAGCAGGATCTACCATCTCCTCTTCACTCATGGCACCTTGCACAGACTCTTCAGTAACTGTCAATTTGCACTTCCCATTTGTGTCTGATGGGGGGCAGCAGCTGTGGCCGATCCCTCATGACAGTCTGCAATTGCTTGACATGCACCATTCAAACGCCCTCTCTGGGCACTATCCAGGTCCCACGAAATGGGCAGCTCTGCTACACATCCCAGTCCCCTTTTCCCGTGTTGTATAGCCTTGCAAGTTCCACAGTATTGAAAACTTACAGCTAGTTTTAGCTGGAAATATCCAATATGGCTCCCAGATGTGTTCCTGAGATTTTATTATAATAAAATTACCATAGTTGGCATTCCCACACCTGTGATATACTTGACTCCATGAGCTGGAAATACGATAGTATTTCCAAAAAAAGGGCGCAGAAATGGTAGCACTCAACCTATTCTTAAACTTCACCCCATTTGCATATTCAATATATCTACCTCAGATACCACTCGGTGTGATGTCTGATAGTTTACTGTGATGCTGTAAACCTGTTGTGAGGTCGTTTTGTTGTTTGGCTTTTTTGTTCATTGTTTCTTAAGGATATTCTTTTCCTTTTCTTAAGACAAATTCTGCTTCCCCAAATACCTTCTTGCCTTCTTGAATTCTTTCACAGGTGGAGAGAAGAGCTTGGGAGAAGCTCAGCAAGAGTGTCTGTTACCTACAACAATATGAAATGTGTGTGCAGTGACATGCACACGTGATTTGGCCTTAACTTGGATTCTGTTCAGTGATTTGTTAGAAATCCTTACGCCGGTACTGTACTATCTTGACTTTTGCACATTCATCACGTATGTTGGCATCTGAGGGACACACTCTTCCTCCTTGTGTTCTTGGCTATTCTTCCAGGGGCCTTCAGTCAATCTTCTAGTGGATTACTATAGAAGATTGACTCATTTACTAGACTTCCCTGGTCTGTAATCAAGTAATTTGGTGGTTGGTTGGACAATCAGAATTCTTTGCATACTTTTTTTTTTTAGAAGATTATGGGCATTCTGTTTCCCTGACCCACTTGGGTCTTCTTTGGCCATTGATGTGGGAAGACCAGGGGCTTCTCAGTTGTCAAAAACATATGAAAATGAGTTGTGTCTTGGATTCAGGGCAGCCACTCTCAGCACATAGCTTCATCTATGCTAACATTGTGAGGAAGAGAGAATGCTGTGTGGTAGTACAGGTCAAATCGAGGATGCCTCAGAAATACCTCGAGATGGACATGAAAGGGAAGTCAACAAGATCTCAGAGAAGATTTCTTCAACCCTGTCATTTCCCAGACTCTCAAGATCCACCCCTCTCCTCCAAATTTTAATTCTTGTACCATCGCTAGGTGCCCAGTGATAAAGCCAGCTCTGGCGCCCTGCTGTCCTGACATACAGTTCAGTGTATCTTTGTGACTTGTTTGCTCTTGATGAGGAGTTGTCACTGTTCCTGGCAAGGCTTTGGAACAACCCAGCAGCATGTGGAAAGCATTGCTCCCTGACCCTCTGCTCAAAAGAGCTTGGAGTTTATCTTGATTGAAGTTTGGCCAGTTCTCTTTCAGCTAAGCCCTTGGAGCTGCCAGACGGGGAACTACCTCCTTAGGAATGGATGAAAGGAAATATGTGGCCGCCAGTGCTCCTGATGTTGCTACATGGCTAATAAAAAGAGGTGGAGGTTCTTGCCAGGGCAACAGGTTTTTGACGTGGAAAACCATGTCATGTTTCCAATGATTCAAAGTGGCACAAAAGGTGTCTCCACATCCATTAGTAAAAACCTAAAATTTGGCTATTTCATTCTTTTAAACCAGCTGTTCATATTCAATCCCCTATAGCACCCTTTTTATTCCTTTTAAATAAAAGAAGAATAAAAAAGAGACCATCAATTCTTATCTAACTCCCTAGTTTGATAAAATAACTAGGAAATAATATTTAGGAAAGCACTGTATGTAAGTATACAACATCTGTCCTAAACTAGACCCTGTTTAGGTGCTCAGTGGCTAAGCTAGTGAACAAAATAAAGAATTACATTCTTCTTAAAAAATATTTGTTTTTATTGGAAAAGCAGATGTACAGAGAGGAGGAGAGACAGAAAGATCTTCTGTCCACTGGTTCACTCCTCAAGTGGCTGCAACAGCGGGAGCTGAGCTGATTTGAAGCCAGAATCGAGAAGTTTCTTCCAGGTCTTCCATGTGGGTGCAGAGTCCCAAGGCTTTGGGCTATCCTCGACTGCTTTCCCAGGCCACAAGCAGGGAGCTGGGAAGAAAGTGGAACAGCTGGGACTTGAAATGGTGACCATATGGGATCCCAGTGCATGCAAGGTGAAGATTTAACCACTAGATTATTGTGCCAGGCCAAAGAATTCTGGTTCCCAGAGAGTGAAAACTAATAGTAGCCAATTTGAATCAATGCAATAACAGATAGATTTATTTATTTGAAAGGCAGGCAAGAGAGAGAAGAAGGAAAAGAGAGAAGAGGAAGGGAATACAAAGAGAGGGAAGGGAAAAAGAGAGAGAGAGAACCAGAATCTTCCATCTGCTGCTTCACAACCCCCATAGGTGGTAGGGAGTCAACACATTGAGGGCATCATCCATTACTTTCCCAGCAGCTTTGACAGGGAGCCAAATCAAACGTGAAGCACTCAAACCTGTGCTCCTATGGGATGCAAGCTTCACAGGCAGTGGCTTAACCCACAGCACCACAATATTGGCCGTGAAACAGTGCCTTTTCTAGTAACACAAGCTTATTGGAAAATAAGGAGTTGAGTGGGGGCAAAGGAAACTGCAAAGAACTGACCCTTGGGCAAGCACTTGGTGAGGTGAGGGAGTTAGCTGTGGATGTGTAGAGGAAGAGTGCTCCAGGCAGCGGGATCCACCATTGCCTTTGAATACGGTCATGCAACAAAGAACAGCATTTTGAACAATGAGAGATTTTGTACACAATGGTAGCCTCTGGTGACCTGGCAGTCTTCTTCGTTTATATAAGTGCACTGAATGGTGTCCACACAACAATGAAGCTACGCTGTGACACTGTTCTTGGAATGCATGCCCTGATGTTAAGCAGTGCATATCTGAGTGCTCATGTTCTTGTGCATGCCAGAGTATATACTGACAAGTATTGAGTACACACACACACACACACACACACACACACACACACACACACACAAACACACCTTTCTTTACAGGAAATGGAGAATAATATATAGAGAGATCAATAATTATTTTACAAATGAACAGTATTTATCCTAAGCATGAGGCACTTATGCAGACACGTATCTTGGTGCGTGTGAGAATGAGAAAGGTGAACATGAAAAACTTGAGTCTCTCTTCTCCTCAGCTGGATGCAGAATCTACCCGTGGATCTCCCCTGTAACATTTGCCCTCTCTGAACATACAAGGCAAGGAATGCTTTGCTCATCTTCAGGTTTGAAGTTGATCAGTATTGCCATCTCACACTCACCCTGATGCTAAGAGGTCTTTCCTCTCTGTGTCCATTGGCAGGCTTTTAAACGTTGTCATGGCACTAGAAGTGTGCCTTACATTTGAATAGTTTTCTGCTGGGAGCCAAGGCTTCTTTCCCTGGAAGGAATGGAGAGGCCCAGAGTAACTGAGTTGCCACTTTCCTGGCTGTTTTCCATGGTGTTCTGATTCATATCGAGCTCAAGACATGTTGTATGCTTTGGTTCACATGCTGAGGCATGTCTGTTTTCAAAGGCATGACTTTGGTATCTTTTTACACTTGGTTGTCAGGACAGTGGAATCTCTTTCTAGAATGGGTGAAGCCCCTCATTGACTAGCTTTAGCTTTGGTCAGTACCTGACCTTGGATCTACCCTTTCCTTGAAAGAATATACCTCCCCCAGTCCCTTTGGATGCTTTACCAGAGTCCTTGGCAGAAATTCAGCTTATGGTGTGTGAATGAAGGTGGCTGCATTGGAAAAGGTAGTGATAACTGAGCTGCAGGTTCCTCTGGCTTATCCCATGCTGTGGGACAGGTTTGGGTCTGGCTCTCCATCAGGTTATGACATAAAATTTGGATCTGGGATCATCTCATCATGCACAGGAACAGAGATTCAGTGAAAGCAGTAGACACTCCAATCACCAGGATGCCCAGTGTGTGTGCCCTCCATGTCTCATCCCCAGGTTGATATGTTAAGATTCCGTTACATCTGTTTCTGACCTTGCAACAGATCTTCTTTCACTTTGACATCTGCGAATATTTTGACTCCCTTGGGCACCTCATGTAGAATATTTACAATTCCACCTGTGACAAGGCTTGCCAGTTCCAAGCAGACTTGGATTTAGTTTAATTGGAGAACTGTCCTCAAAGGTCAGTTCCACCTGCTTTGTAGAAGAGGGGGCTTGACAGTTTTTCACCCTTTCAATATCGGGGGGCAGGAAATGTCCCCGTCTTGAGAGATAGCACTTTTCTCTGGCACAACTCTTTTTACCTTAGGCTCTGGGGATTGGAAGATAGCATGATACTCTGGGTCTGAGATAAGGGGCAGCTAAGGATGACAGGGGACAGGATGTGGCATCTGAGCTTGGAACTGTCCTTGGAAGAAAGTCATGGAGCACCTGGAGGTCATAAAGGACAGACTAGGAGAGATTTATGGCTGATCAAAATGTCCAAAAGACTGAAGGCCTTCTGTTTTTGTGTTGAAATTTTTTTAGTGCCACTTTTTTCTTAATACTGTTTAATTGTTTCATGGTAATTATGAATGTTTTCACAACAGACTGTGAAGTTCCAATACATGTGCACACTGTGTAAGGATCAGAGTGATGTATTTCTTGCATGTTAGATGTTTACCATATCTTTGCAGTGGCAGCATTAAAAATTCTCTTGTCTGCTATGCGTCAACTTTTCTTGGATGTTTGGGCACCAAGTACTTTTCAGCCCTGGTTTCATGCTAGGTTTGGGGAGGAAATGGCAGTTACATCCTATGTCAGAATTTAACCCCATTAATCTCATTTTATGTTTCCATGGTAATTATTAACATTATCCCTTCACTTCCTAGAATATTTTTGGGGGGCAATAAGTGGGATGCTCGCCCTCTGAATAAGGAAAGGAATCATTACTGCTTCTCTTTAGTGGATCACTAGATTTAATATGTTCTTTCTAATCCCAGTGCCTTACTACACTCATGATAGCTGTGCATCCTTGAATGTGTAAAATTTAGTCATATCTGTTTAACATTCTCAGCTACTTCCTTCAGAGTCATTTCTGCTTCTGTCACTATTGCACTGTTTGTTGTTTGTCACATTCTCCTGTTACATGTCAGATGATTTTTGACTGAATCGCTAGAAATTGCAATTTTCATCTCATTTTATATCAATGTTTACAGCTTCCTTTATCTGTTGCTGAGATTGGTTCAGAGATACAGTTGAGTTATCTGGAAATGAATGGTCCTTTTGAAACTGACTTTCAAGCTTGCTTGTATAGCAACTGAGCAGCCTTTGGTCTGCCTTTTATGTCTAGCCAATGTTCCATGATATACACTTGTTCTTCAAAAAAACTCATGTGAAATTGCATGTTGTATAAATGAAACTGTGTATGGAATAAACACATTCCTTTCTCGGTTGGCTTGTTGAAGCTTGCTAATATTACAAGAGTTTCTCACTCGAGGATTCCTTGCCCTATCTAAGTGCAAGGGTTGCTCTGCCTGTTCTTTCCTCGAGTTCCCCCTCCTACCTCAAGCAGGTGTGTCACATGCATGTCCTGACCAGTAAATACTCAAGGAGGAGTGTACACAAACACCCTTTAGCTCCTGAGCTTTCCTTCTGTTTGTGTCGGTCTCTGTAACTCTCTGTCTTTTTAAAAATTTTGAATTTAATGGTACAATTCCATACAGTCTGGGATTCCCCCTCACCCCAAATTCCCACCCTGTGACTGATTTTCCCCACATATTACAATAGTATAGTCCTTCATAAGCAGTCCTAAGTCCATCAGTCTGTTATTTAAGTGTGCCCCAACATGGCTGGTACCAACAATGTCAGACAGTCCATCATCCCATTTTATAAACATGTCCAACAGTTTCATTGGGAATCCATCTTTGATTTGGAAGTAGGATGCATATTGCATTGTATCTTCACATCTGGATATGATCATCTCTGCTACGCCATCACTATACATTCCCTTAAATGAGAAGCCATGAAACAAAGTCAACAACAGGTATGAAGATAAAACAACAACAACAACAATTACAGCATCATGGAGTTGAAAAAGTGCACCACTGAATAATTAACGCATGAGTGAAGAAATGAAAACACAAAAGCTTCTTGGATAAAATGATGCCATCATGTGATCCATGAACCAGTGATGAATTCAACAAGAGAAAAGAAGCCATTTGGAAGAAATGAAAATGAAAACAAAAACATCAAAAACACAGGGTATGCAGCAAAAACAGTATGGAAAGGTTATTGAACTTACAATTTGCATGATGGGGCTTCCTTATATTAGAGAGAACATATGGTATTTGTCCTTTTGGGATTGATTTATTTCACTGAACATAATGGTCTCTAGTTGGGACAATCTATTTGCAAATAATATAATTTCATTCTTTTTAATGGATAATTAATATTCCATGGAGTGGATGTACCATGGTTTTTTCAACCAGTCCTCTTTGGACGGGCAACTGGGTTGCTTCCATGTCTTTGCAATTGTAGACTGTGCTGCTGTAAATATATGATTACAAATCCCTTTTTCATATGCAATATTGATTTCCCTTGGAATGTTCCTAGGAATGGGATAGCTGGGTCATAAGGCACGTTTATTTGCAATTCTCTAAGCACTCTCCATACTGATTTCCGTAGTGGTTGTACTAGCCTGTACTCCTACCAACAGTGAAGGCAGATACCTTTCTCCCCACATCCATGCCAGCAGGTGTTGTTAGCAGAGTTCTGAATGTAGACCAACCTCACGAGTTAGGTGAAACCTCAATGTGGTTTTCATTTGTAACTCCCTGATGGCTAGGAAGCCTGAGCTTCTTTCCATATATCTGTTAGCCATTTGAATCCTCCCTTCTTTTGAAAAATGTCTATTCATTGTTCATTTCCTTTGCCGATTTCTTCAGTTTTTTTTTTTTAACTGCTCCTGGGTTTCTGAAGCTCTTTGTAAATCCTGGATATTAGTCCGCTATCACTTGTGTAGTGTGCAAAGATTTTCTCTCTTTCTGTTGATTGCTTCCTCAATTTATTAATTGTTTGCTTTGCTGTACAGAAGCATTTTTGTTTCATGTAGTCCCATTTGTTTATTTTAGCTTTGACTGCCTGTGCTTTTGGAGTGTTTTCTAAGAAGTTTTTCCTTGACCCTTTATCTTGGAGTGTACTTCCTATGTTTTCATTTAATAGTTTGATGGTTTCTGGGTATCAATTTAGGTCCTTGATCCATTTAGAACTGATTTTTATATAATGTGACAGATGTGGGTCTTGCTTCTTAATTCTGCACGCTGCTATACAGTTGCCCCAAAAGCATTTTGTTGAATAGAGCAGGCTTTTCCCCTGGATTGTTTTCAGGTTGTGTGTGTGTGTGTGGGCTCTCTTCTGGTGTTTCTATTCTGTTCCATTGATCTCCTTCTCTCTTTCTGTACCAGTACCAGACTCTTTTGATGACCACTGCTATGTAGTATGTCTTGAGGTCTGAAATTGTGATTCCTCCAGCTTGGTTTTTATTCTTCAGGATAGCTTTAGCTATTCATGGTCTCTTGTGTTTCCAGATGAACTTTTGTATCTTCTTTTCTGTTTCTGAGAAGAATGTTTTTGGGATTTTGATTGGGATTGTGATGAATCTGTATATTACGTTTGGTAATATGGACATTTTGATGTTATTGATCCTGCCAACCCAGGAAATGGCAAGTTTCTCCATTTTTCAGTGTCTTCTTTTGTGTGTGTGTGATACTTAGCTTAATTCCTAGGTATTCCTCTGTGCTATTTTAAAGGGAACTATACTTACAATTTCTTTCTCAGCCATGGAATTATTTTTGTACACTAGTGTCATTGATTTGTGCTCATGAATTTTGTATCCTGTTACCCTGCCAAAGTATCTTATGAGTTCTAATAGTCTCTTGACTGAGTTTTTGGTTCCCCTATGTAGAGAATCATGTTGTCTGCAAATAGAGATAATTTTAGTTCCTTGTTTCTGATTTGAATTTCTTTAATTCTTTTTTTTTTTTTGTCTGATAGCTCTGGCAAGGACTTCCAATACCATATTAAAGAGTAATGGTGACAGTGGACATCACTGTCTAGTTCCAGATCTTAGTGGAAACACTTCCAATCTTTCTTCATTTTGTATGATGCTGGCATTGATTTTTCATAAATCGCTTTGATTGTGTTGTAGAATGTTCCTTCTATGCCTATCTTGCTTAGAGTTTTCAGCATGAAGTGGTGTCAGATTTTATCAAATGCCTTCTCTGCATCTATTGAGATGTTCATATGGTTTTTATTTTTCAATCTGTTGATGTGATGTATCACATTTATTGAATTGCGAATGTTGAAACATCCCTACATGCCTGGGATGAATCCCACCTGGTTTGGGTGAATAATGTGCCTGATGTTCTGTTGGATCCTGTTGACTAGTATTTTGTTGAGGATCTTTCCATCTATGTTCATCAAGGATATCAGTCTTAGTTCTCTTTTTCTGTTGTTTCTCTGGTTTTGGTATTTAGAAAGAGTTTGAAAGGATTTCTTCCCTTACTATTGTTTGGAAAAGCTTGTGGAGGATTGAGTTAAGTTACTCTTGAAATGTATGGTAGAATTCAGTAGTGAAGCCATTTGGTCCAGGACTTTCCATGGTTTGGCGGGCTTTAATTACCAATTCGATCTCAGTCTATGTTATAGGTTATTGATTGCTTCTTGATTCAATTTTGGTGGATTGTATGTGTCCAAGAATCTATCCATCTCTTCTAAGTCTCATTTTTTCACATATAGTGCTTGTAATAGTTCCTGGTAATTCTCTGTCTGTCTGAGGTATCTGTTGTTATATTTCCAACTGATGCTACTAATGTGTATCTTCTCCTTTTTTAATTAGTTGGACTAGTGGGGAGTCTATTTTATTGATTTTCTCAAAGAACTGGCTCTTTGATTCATTGCTTTTATGCTTAGTTCTTTTGGCCTCTATTTTGTTTATTTCCTGCCTTATTTTGATTGCTTCTTTTTTCCTACTAATCTTGGGATTCTTTTCTACTCATTTTCTAGTTTCTTCAACTGTAAAGTTAGTTCATTGACTGAGATGAACTTTCCTTTTAACACTGCCTTGATTGTGTCTCATAAGTTTTGATATGTTGTGTTAATGCCTTCATTTGTTTCAAGCCATTTTTATATTTTCCCTTTGATTTCCTCTCCAATCTATTGCTCATTTAGTAGCATATTAATCAGTCTGCATGTGTTTGCATTTCTTCCTGGGTGTTTTGACTTCCTGGTCTCTAGTTTCATTCTATGATGGTCTGAGAAAATGCATGGTATAATTTTGATTTTTAAAAATTTGCTGAGGCTTGTTTTGTGGCCTGTAACATGGTCAATTCTGGAGAACGTTCCATGTACTGATGAAAAAAAAAAGGTGTTTTCTATCTGTAGTATGAAAGGTTCAGTAGATATCAACTTAGTCCAATTGCTCTAGTGCTTGGGTGAGTTCTGTTGTTTCTTTTCTGGGTTTCTGACTCCTCAATCTGTCCATTGATGTTAAAGAGGTATTAAATTCCCCACTATTATTGCATTGGAGTCTATTTCTCCCTTTAGTTCCATTAATATTTATTTCATATAGCTAGATGCCTTGGCATTTGGCACATATGCGTTTTTATGGTGATATCTTCTTATTGAATGAATCTTTTGATTATTATGTGGTGTCCTTCTTCATCTCTTTTAATGTTTTTCACATCAAAGTCTATGTCATCTGGTATAAGAATGGCTATACCTGTACATTTTTCCTTACCATTCACTTGGAATATCTTTTTCTATCCTTTCACTTTCAATTTTCTCTGATCTTTGTTGGTGAGATATGTCTCCTGTAAACAATAGATAGATGGGTTTTGTTTTTGATTCAGTCCTCTAATCTATGGCATTTGATTGATGAGTTGAAGCCATTACATTCAATGTAATGGCAGTTTGGCCCTGTCCTTTTAGTAATGGATTGTTCTTTGATTTAGACTTCTGTTGGCCTTTTGCTGGGATGTTCTCTACATTTCCCTTTATTTTTTGGTAGTTATTATTCCTTTTCTCTTTCATGAGAATATCTTTGAGTATCACTTGTAGGATAGGTTTAGAAAAGGCAAATTCTTGGAGTTTTTCTTTATTGTGAAGGAATTTTATTTCATTTTCAAAGACAAAGGAGAACTTTCTTGGATATGTTATTCTCGGCTGAAAGTTTTTTCTTTATAGAATCTGGAATATGTCACTTCAGTCTCTTTTGTCCTGTAGCATTTCCTCTGAGAGGTCAGCTGTGAGTTTGATTGGGGTTTCTCTATAGGTCACTTGATTTTTTTTTCATGTGCATATTTAAAGATCTTTATGTTCAACTGAAGAGAGCTTGATTATCATGTGTCATAGTGAAGTTCACTTTTGATCAACCCTGTTTGGAGTTCTGTTACCCTCTTGTATATTGTTTTCCAATTTTTTCCCCCAGATTAAGAAAGTTTTCATTTAATATTTCACTGAGTACACGTTCAATCTCAGCGTATCTTTCTGTGCCTTCAGGAACTCCTATAACTCTTATATTTGCCCTTTTAATCATATATTTTAATTCTTGGATGCTGTTTTTAGCTTGACCCAGCTCTGCTTTCAGCTTTTTGTTTGTTTCTCCTTGGTGACAGGAGATATCTTCCAATTTTGATATTTTTTCTTTTGCCTCATTTATTCTATTTTTGAGACTCTCCACTGTGCTTTTTTTTGCTCCATTTTATTCTTCATTTATGATAAAACAGCTTTCATTTGACTTATTTCCTATGTGACATATGCCTTAAGTTCCTTGAACTCCTCCTGCATTACGTGCTTCTCATTGTTATTCACAAGATTTATAACAAATTTTCTGAATTCTGTGTCCTCCATTTTCTCAATATCTTCCGCAGGGAACTCTGAGGGTGGTCGAGGCTTTTGCTCCTTTGCCAAGGAGTCTTCAGTAACATCCATAGTGGCTCTGTCTCTTCCCTTTTGTCATTGCAATTCTGGTTGGCAGATTTTTCTCCTTAGGGCAGGTTTCTAAGATGTATTACCTGCAGATCTACAAGCCAATTTTTATGTTCTACCTATGTCCTGGATTAGGAAAATGCCAGCTATTCTGAATAACTGGGTTGTCAGCAGTACTGATCTTACTGACACGTGCTGGTCGTTAAATCTGAATGTCACCTGGAATTATTTTGGGTGGAGTCTGTTGAGTGCCACGATGGATCTGCTTTCTCTGAAGAGCATGTGCAATGCTCTAAGTGTTTATGTTCCCAGCTTAGCTCTTGTGCAGCTCAGCTGTCCTCCCTGCATTCCAACAGTTTCTGGTTCCGTGAAAATATCATCTGGGTCCTACTGATTTAGTGCATGCACAGTTTACCACTGCTTCTCTTGTCTTCTGAGCCCTTGCTCCTCTGTGCAAGATGGTACCCGGCAGGGCACTGGTATAGATCTTGGGCTGCTGTCCAACAGATCCGGGGACTGTACAGACCCCACAGGATGTGAAGCTGGCACTACTTTCCCTGTGGACTCAGCTCAGTGTGATTAGCTAGAAACAAGCCCTCTCTGGGCCATCCCTTCAAATTCGCTTTCTGCCCCACTGTACAAGATGGCACCCAGTGGAGCACTGACAAAGAATCGGGGCTGCTTGCTTTCAGGTACAGGGACCTCACAGACCCTGTAGGATGTGAAGCTGGTGCTACCTTTCCCATGGGATCTTCCAATTGTGATCAGCCAGAAACGATCCCATTCTGGGCCATCTGCTCAGATCCGCACTCTCTGTCCCACCACTCAAGATGGCACCCAATACCTGTGCTGTGAGATTCTTCACCCTGCCACTGATTCATCCCCTGGAGTCCTCTGATTCTTCTCTGCTCATTTGCAGGACCAAACTATTGAGCAGGTTGGGCAGGTCTCATTCTGCATTTGCCTCCTGAGCTCCCTGCGCAAATCTACACTCTCTCCTGGCTATCACAAGAGCTGTAGCCACCACTGGATTCCTGGCTGCCACTGGAGCTTGGATTGCTGGCTGCTTGTGAGTTTTATGCTCAATGCAACACTGCTCCGCTGTTGCCACTGCTTCACTGTGTAGAGGGCATCTCCAGATACCCTCCTACCAATTCTCCGACCTCTGTCTTTTCCTGTAATCTGCTCCTTGTGCTTCACCTAGTCTGTGATTGTCCCTCATCCCTAACCTGTCTGCATCCTAGGACACCATCTTGCCTCTCAGCTCACTCTTTTTTGTTACTTGACACTGCAAGGCTAGCTGCCTTGATATCTCTGAATTCTCCACTATGTCTGCTCGACTCAGGAAACCACCCAGCCCTTTCTGAAGTCCCTCTTCCTGCCCTATTACTAATGGAAACATCTTACTGGCAGAGAGCAGATTCACCCTAGGGCTTTTTTCTTTCCTTGCCTTCTTTCCTGAGTACCCTGTCCCCTGCTGTCCATTTTTCAGGTGTCCATACTTTGTGCTTAAATTTGTTGCTGTGCATTGCATTTTCACTGGCAAAGAAATTTGTTCAAGCGTTCCATCTATTCTTCCACCTCATCATACATCCATTCTCTCATCTATGTAACATCTACCTGTTTTTCTTTATCATGCTTAACCATGATTTTTTTCATGATTCTGCCAGGTTGCTGTCACTCCCTAATTTTTTTCAAGGGCTGTCTCCAGGACCAGTGCTCAGTCTGTCCTTTCTTCCAAGGCTTTACAGAAGATACTGCATGATTTGGGATATTTATTCATTAGTTTGAGCGTTAGCTGAAAAGTATTTCTTACCTTCTAAAGTTAAACATTTTGAATTCATTCTTTATTTTATTTATGTGTTTGAGCCAGTACTTCGACTTATTCTTCTTGGGTTCCTGTTAAAGTGAATTCTGAAATACAATGTGTCATGTCAGGAAAAGCATTCTAAACTGTGCCAGGGAAGATAAGAGTCAAGAATGGAGCAATGGGAAGGTAATAGATTATGATGGATCTTATGTAGCATGTGAAACATTAGGACTTTATGTAGAAATATTGAAGACAAAGAAATCCTTTTTTCTCAATGAGGTTATAGGGCAAGATTAGATATTTGTAAAGATCATGCTGGATGCAGTGTAGAGAGTGGATTATGTTATAATAAGACTAGATTCAAATGTCTGGATTAACGTGTTGTTAGTGATAAGTAATGTTAAACATAGCAGTACTGAATTGGGGATGAGAAAGAAAGAGAAGGGGAGAGAGAGAGCGAGAAGGAGAATGAATGAATATGATGAGATTGATGATAGTGGAGCTGACAGAACTTTGGTTTCAGAAGGCGAAGAGAGAAATGCAAGTGACCAGTATAACTCCTGGGTCCTTGTGCTATTGGTCATGAAAAAGTGGAATAGTCAGGGAAATAGGGGAAAAAAAAGAGAATATATTTGGTCTACAAGATGGTAAGCTCAGTTTTGCTCATAGATCTGAACTGCTTGTGGAACTTCCCTGGGGTTCTCTGGAAGCTACCTGGTTCCACACTTTGGGGCTCAGCTGAGATATTTGGGAGTCACATACAGTCTGCTGCCCAAGGGCGTTAGGTTTGAGTGATAGTGGAGACCATAAAATGGAGGCAGGCAACTCCTAGGGAACATGTCACTCCAGTCTGTACATAAATACTTTGCGTGTCTGGACTCTGAGATTTTCTGTTTTTAAAAAGTAGTGAAAACATAACCTCTGAATGGCCTTGTTGTTGTCATTTCATCTGGTATCTTGCAGAAAATTAAACTGTTTTCACAGTTATGCTTGCACCTTATGTATTAGCACTTTTCTGCCAGTTAAGGAGAAAGGTGTACAGCATACTCCAGTGTGTGAGGCTGCTTGAGACTGTTAGATGCCTCCCACCCCCAACACACATGCACACATTGCTTCTCCAATAAAGGCATAGAAGGCCAAGTACACACAAGGCCATCACTGTTTTTTTTTTTTTTTTTTTTTTTTAATAATTTTTGTTCTGAGCCTTGTGACACTGAGCTTTGTTACATGGAATACTCTGTGATTTCCAGGACAACAGGTGCCTTCCTGAGTTTGTTTGTTTGTTTTAACCTATATTCTCATACGGCACAAAATTCCTGTATTGGTCAAGTTTAATTCTGTCCATTGATTCCTTTTAGCATCCTGTATCTGTGAAGATGGGATTTGTAGGGGAAGTGATAGAAAATCACAGATCAGGGGCTGAGTCTAACTGTCTCTATTGCAGAAGAAAATCCTTCAGCCTCTCTGAGACTGAGCCTTGGGGATGAAGTAAGATTAGCCTAGGATTGTTGCAAGGATATTATATGACAATGCAAGTGTGCAAGGTAGTGATTGACACATACAAATGTGTGCAATAAATGAGCCATGGTTTTTCTGCTGTTACTGTGTACTTCTTGACTATGCAAAGGATTGATCCTTCAATTGCAACCAGTACCTAGAACCCTTATTCTGCACCTGCCTTCCATAGGCATTAGTTGTTGGAGGAGGAAGCACAGGTTGAGAAGGACCCTAGTGAATATTCTCAAAGATTTTCCCCCCGAGTTTAACTATCACTGTTTCCAACTTTGCAATCATCCTAACGCTTCCATCCAAGAGAAATATTTTAAAGCTTTTTCCAATCTTCTGTAAACTTTGGGGGACTTTTGATCTATGATGATGGGGCTTTCTCATTCCACCTTGCCATCTGGAACTCTTTGCTCAGGACTTTGCCAGGAAAAATAAAAACACAGCACATGAACTTAGGAAAATAACATTTGGCAGAAACTTGGCAAGTGTGAATCCTTTGTTGCCAGGATCTTTGTTCAAGTGTGGGTGGCTCAGATGGCATTTAATTAAATACATTTTCCTATAAATTCTCAGCAGTGTGATTATTTTTACTGATGGTTAATAACTACCCTATCTCTAAGGCAACCAAACTTCACAGCTTGCAGACCAAGGAAATCAGCATGTGTAAGTATCGTGCTGGTTTTCTAGTACCAAGATTATTCCTCATTCTCAGAGACACAAAGGATTTCTCTATTGCTTCTCACTGGAAGCATTGTCATTCAGAGCTTTACTCCCACCTGATACGCCTGTATAATAAAAGTAGCACCTTGTATTACCAGTGCCAACCATGAATCACTCACTGTCCTAGGCATCCACTGTCTCATTTACTCTTCTTAACTCTTTGAGATGCAAGTTCATATTTAGAAGATGGAAGCAAAAAGACTG